GAAAAGTCTTTAAACACTGACATGATCTTCTTGCACCTGCAGTGTGTTACATTTAGCAATACAAACACATTGCTGGCCAATGGAAAAGAGTTCAAACAGAATAGTTCAGGACATGCAACCAAAGACAAGATGCACCGCAAGTTAACACATTATGCAATCATACAGTTGCAAACACTTTCTAGACCTGTCACACAGCCTGCATGATAACCATTACTGGGAAAAAAGTCTTACCTGTTGTGGAAATTGCCAACTTGGCGATTTCCACAGGAGGCTAAAGCTGCTTGCCCCTGAAGCAGGAGCTTGTTTTGTTCTACGAATTGTCCTGTGTGGTAGAACAGCACTTTAGCAAACAAGAAATATTTAAACAGGGACAAGAATGCATCTTTTTACTCATTGGGAAAGCGCAGATACAGACTGGATTAGTTCAGTACATATTACAGCAGATGCAGTTAACCAATCTTCCGTCAGGCATTCTAACAGAACTTTGTATTAGACTTTCACAGCATGATATAAAAGCAGTATTGAGAAAGGGTCTTACCTCTCAGTCAGCAGGCAATTTTCACATGAGACCCTGTTGTCTTCTGTGGACCGTCCTGCGTGGAATCATAGAACTACTTTACCCAACCGGAATGTTTTCTGAACACTGATGGCAGCTTTTTGAACATCGAGGAGAAACTACAAATATTAAATGACGCAGCTAAAGAGGGTGGCATAGTTCAGGACATGCTACATATTAGAAGATTCAGTTGACACATTATGCAACAGTCAGGCTCTAGACAGTTTGAAAAATTGAAAGTTTTATTAGACCTGTCACACTGCATAACAAGCATTACATATCAAAAACCATATTGGAAAAAAGTCTTACCGTTCACTCAAATCACTAAAGACTGCTGGTTATTTCCACCGTCACAGGAGGCTGAAACTGCTTGACCACTTCTTGGGATCCTCAAGGCAGGAGCCTGCTGCCTTCTCTGGACCATCCTGCATGGAATCACAACCCATTCTGAAAAATCTCTGGAACACTGACAGGATGGCATCTACTTGCCCACAGGCTAACGTTATTTCGCAATACTAACACATTGGCCAACAGCAAACAGCAGATAAAGGATCCAAATAGTTCTTCAGGACAGGCCTCAACACTCAAGCATTCTTTACAGTTAGAAAGACATTTTATTAGAGCCATTACACAGCCTGCACGACAAGAAATACATACAAAGAATACTTTAATGAAGAGCCCAGGCCTCGCCCATCTTCTCCCCAAGATCTATGAGCCTCCTTTGACCTGTACGGTTCTGTCAGTTGGTCGACCGCCCATTATCAGCAATTGCGTCCTACAAGACTCTAGAATACATTGACATTTTATTAATTCACGGCCAAAATTACATTCCAGGTACACAGTAAATGTGACTGTCAAATTGGAGTACATTGCAACACTAAGCCAGTAAACATAAGGTCTTAACCTACAGTGTTGGGGTTACACTGAAGTGTACAGCAGTTTTAATTAAATACACATTTCTGACAGTAAAGTGCATTTTTAGAGGGTACACACATAGGATTCACTTACACTTTGGACAAACATCACAATCACCACGAATCACCAAGCAATTCAAACAGTTAAAACATGTTGAAAAATGCTTGCAGTTGAATATATGAGCAGTGGCTCTTTAAGAGTGTGCTTGTTAACAACGCAAGTCAGTCATACCTTTTGTTTGCGCTCATGGCACCACGGTCTCCACCAGGTTTCTTGCCCAACGCATATTGAACCAACTGAAATGAGTAAATGACAATACTAAAAAACAAATTACATTATCTGCAACAATTTATAAAACAGGGTTACACAATTTATCACGGGCAATACACAGAGGTAGGTCAAACATTTTACATATCAACTAACCCGTTTGGCCTGCTACTTGTCCCTGAAATTCAGTGGTAGAGTGTAGATTAAAAAGTAATTGCCAAAATCTTGGTCCATGTATTGAAGTGAGAGGCTGCCCTTTAACCTAAAGGTTGTCTTCATCTTGCAGTAAAGATATCTAGTGACTTTGGCAAGCCATTTGGAAGTTTGTTTTTTCCAATGTTCATCTTGATTCTGTGTGTGTGGAACCAGCCATAGCAGTCTGAGAAAAGATCACAAGCAATTAGTAAAGTTCAACATGTGAGTAAATCCCTTCTAGGGGTACCATTGGCCGATTTCTATTTGGACTGTCGACTTCCCTGATACAAGAGAATGAGTGAGAAATAAGTTGTAGGGCTGTTGTATTAGAACGCATTAGTTTTAACTGATGCATAGTGTGTAGATCAAATCATGAGAAGTTGAGCAACTGGAAGACAGACATTTTAACCACCGGTAGCACAGGGTTAAACATTTCCTCATAAATTATCCAACAACCAAGGATCAACTGGTGACTGAGGTCAGACTGAGGCAAAAGGATTATCCCAGATTAACATTTAGTTAAAATATAGTAAGCATACAAAACAATGAAACTAATTTCCATCAGCTGTAGGAATAACCAAATGCGCCTCTACAAACAAATTGAGGGCTACTGGTGACTAGGCCGCACCGGGGTGAGAACGGGGACAGGCTCTGGCACAGGGCGCTCACCGACTTAGTTTCTCCACACAAACAATATAAAATCAAGGCATGCTATGTTAAAAGAAAATGCAGACAAACAACGGACAATGGGATGAGCAGATGAAAGGCCCAGCCACCAGACCCACCATCTGGGATGCTACTCTGCAGACAGCCTCAAACACCCCCTAAAAAATAAATAAATAAACAAATTACCAAAAGTAATCATCAGCAAACTAACTAATGTTACAAATATGAATAAACTCCAGAAAGGAACTGAATAAGCTACACAAAACAGCAGTGGCTTCTAATGCCAGCCTGGAGTTACTTGTAGGCTCCTCCACCTGGTCCGGCTCACACATGGTTTGGGCCTCCCTGACAAGCTGGGAGACCAACAGAAGGATCGCCAGTGGCCAAATCGGTTTTCTAAGAACTGTAAAAATTATTAACAAAAAAAAAACCTACCAGCTCATTGGATTCTCCAGCCAGCCTCAAACACAGAAAGGGACAAGCGTGGTGACAGCAGCTTCATTATGTGCAGCTTTTATACCCGTTCTAATGGGTGAACCAGGAAGTAGGAGGTACCAAAGACTGCCTGAGCCTACGGTAGCTCAGGAAGGACATTTCCTCACTCGCCACACATTGAAAACGATTATTCAAATCATTTATTTATAATCGTACAGGCTGAGCTTCTTCACAACAAGGATGAAGCTGTTTTGCAATAGCACCATTTAGATGCTTTTAACAAACTCTGGCCGTGCACTGAGTAAGCCATGGATCAAAATCATCACACACCTGTAGTTTAGTCCATTGTACGCCACACTTTTGGCCAAGCTTTCATGCCCATGGTTGAAGACTTTTGTTTCACGGAATTTGAGATCTCCTTGTTAAGAACATCAATGTGAAGAGTTGAAACGTTTGCCACTTCCAATGGAGGTCTCGTAAAGCTACATGCATGTAAATGATTTGCAATCTGAAATTGATGTCTCTCGGAAATGGAAAGGAGCACATTTACAAAATGTTGAATTAGCAGCAAAGGCTTTAAAATTGAAATATTTTGGAATTACTTATTTTTGTATTACTTACTATCTTTTTGGTTTGAGTATTTATTCTACTGGTGAAGCACTTTGAATTGCCTTGGTGTTGAAATGTGCTATACAAATAAAATTGCCTTGCCTTGACTTGCCTACTGGTTCCACTACATCAAAGTAAACCTCTCTCCTCCAGGCACTGGAAAGTAGACCTGTTTCACCAATTGCTTCTAACAAGGTTTGTCTCACAGATCGCTCTGGCTATCTCTTGAACTACTGACAGGTCAAACTGGCATCCATTATCTCTTAATACTTGACTAATAGTCTTTTGAGTAATCGGCACAGGCATAACCAATCAAATAGTTAAACTCCTGCAAAATCTCACCGTCGGCTGCATTAGACACAAGAAAGATATTTTGTAACTTAAGTACAACGGGAGCAATTTTAACCTCAATAACCTTCTCCAAGTTTTAAGAACTCTGTCAAAAACAGAATATAAAATAGCATTGCTCTCTATACTTTCCCCATCTGAAATAATACTGGCACATTGGCACAATATTCTAGAGCCTCAAATATGAAACTGACATATTCAATATATTAAATAGTTAATTAAAACAAACAAATTATTCAAGCAGATGAAGCCACATACATTTTTCCTTTGGGACTATCACATTTAGCTCATGTTTTTATCTAAAGTGCATTCAACTAAGAGGGAAAAGACCCTCAGAATGAACTGAGTTAGATTTTTGACATTGTCATTTCACACTTTTAAGTTTAGCATTAACATTGTTTTTAACATACATATTCTATGCACTCTCAGTTTCCAACTGTACCATCTTTTCATTAAATAAACATAGTTTTAAGCAGTGTAAAAAGACAGGCATAGGAATTATGTTATGTTTGTTGGCTCTTCTTGTTAGCAAAATAAATGTCAAAAGAAAAGCCTGCTTGGAAAACCTGCTCTTTCTACATGGAAAGAACAAACCAGTGGTGCATCAGTGGCCCTTTGACACAAGTTGTTTATTAATCCCAAGGACAAATGGCCACCACTCTAAATGTAGGTTGAGGCCACAGTTTAAGGCGAGTCAAATTCAAATTGGATGTGTATACATTCATTATTCTGATCTCCCCATTATCAAATTAATTAGTTTTATCCTTCTGTTTATTGATTCCAGTCTTTTAAACGGATTTGTTTTTTAGTATAACCTCCACCCAAATTGTAACCATGTATTTTTATAGTTATAATTCACATTTTATTGATGCACATGACTAATTCAGCTTCTTTCCGGGAGTTTTTTTTTGTGCTTTCTCCCCTAGCAGGTGTCCGTAGATCGTAGTTCCTTCTGGACCCTGGTCCTGACACCTGCCGTGGCCCTGCTGACGCTTGCTGCTGCCATCATCATCATCATCATTATTATTTTAGATATTAATCATATTACTGTACTCGTAAACCAACATTACCCTCTCCTAAAGTCTCTGTGCTCTCCCTCCCCACAGGCTTCTGTGGATGGTGGTTCTATCTGATGGTGGTTCTATCTGATGGTGGCCTCTGCAGTGGTCATGCTGTGCGTCTGGCTTACTACTCACAATTACTTGAATCATTCCTGTCATAGGAATTGCATGTATTATACATTGTTCATTCTGTACACATGGCATCCATTGTAGTCTGTCCATCAGGAGACGGATCCTCCTCTGACGTTCTCACTAAGGTTTCGTCCCTTTTTTTCCCCTCTTGGAAGGGTTTTTCATTCTTTGGGGAGTTGTTCCTGTGCCGATGGTGGGTTTCGGGACGGAGGATGTCTTATGTGTACAGACTGTAAAGCCCTCTGAGGCAAATTTGCAATTTTGGGCTCTACAAAATAAAATAAAATGAATTGAATTGAATTTTGAATTTATTTAGATAACAAAAGAAAGTACATCAGATACGACATAAAAGTAACAAACATTCACAACAGGTGAGGTAAGAAATCAAATTTTGGTTGTTTTCAACATCAAGACATCTTCTGAAAGATGAACACCAGGTAGATACCTGGACACAACAGAGAAAACAGGCAAAGGAATTATTTCAGCATGAAGATATACAGAATGAGTCGAGAGTACGGTCATCATTATGTCTACAGGTCTGAATTAAGCTGTTGTTTTTTCAATCAGGCATCCTCCAAGAATATATATTTTTAACTAAACTACAAGTGTATTTACTGGGATCTTTTAGATTCTCATCATGAATCCAATCCTAAATAATGTAGCATTTTTATCACAAGAAATGATGAGGACACTGGGTATTCTCAGGATTAGCAAAGTCTGTTAAATTCAAACAGTCCAATACTCAATGGTAACAGTGAAGTTAAGATCAAACAGTGACACGGGAGATTAGATGACGACTAAACCAAAATAGCAACAATGACGACAAAATGAAGACCAAACTGTAACAGGAACACTAAATAAACTTACTTGCTGCTTCCCACTCAGATCTGCTGAGGGTTCCCTGCACACAAACAAACAAACAGTGCTGTCAAAATGGGAAAAGCCTTCAACAGAAATCCAACTGGAAAGGTGTGCGTTTAGAAGACCCACCACTGGTGGTTGGACTCCGGCTCTGACACGGTGCTCTTCAGCATGGCGGTATTCTTCTCTGCTGTCTGTAACCTGTCTGCCGCCCTCATCACAAGGAAACGGCTGAAAACACAACAACATATGTTTACTACACAAACTAGATGCTCAGTAAGCAATTAACTCCTCAACCAAGAGAGAAGGTGACGCATAAGATGAGTGTGCGTGTGAAATGGAGACAGAACTGACTAACATTAAACGATTTTGGATACGTTTGTGTTTCTTCATCTACATTTAAGACATTTTGTTTCTCCTCAAATGTATTTATTTGATCAGGTCGATACACTGTCTTGGAGATATAAATGAAAAATCTGACGCAAGAGATCGCTACAGTTCCCCAATTATCCGTCAGGTCTTTTCTGTTTGGGTTCATAGGAGCCGATGCAGCAGTCTTAGGCCCGCCCCCAATACCCCTCCCAAGCCAACACTGATGTACATCGCACCCCGACTGTGACCCATGGTGTTTCTGTGAGCAATGGCTAAAAATAATTTATAAAAACTGTGTTAACGCGTTTTAAAATAGTTGTCGGAGTTAATACATTAATAGCTATTATATCGCACATGAACACAGTTTTTAAATCTCTTCCACACTCAGTTGATGGAATCAAAGTTATTAATAAACACTACTGTTGTGTGTTTAAATAAGGTCCTCACTGTACTGCTTCTTATAAACACCAAAAAGGATTATGAACATCAATGTACCAACTTACATTGATAACACATTCCACAACTGCTGATCAGAGATGGTTTATGGTGCTCTCTGATAAAAAAAATTAAAAAAAATTGTTTCTGCTGGTACCTGTTCACATGTATAAATGCGAACAAACGTGTTAATGTTATGATCGTAATTCTGGACTCTGAGGGTAACTTGTTTTTCTATACCAAACTAGATCAGGGATTCCCAAAGTGTGGTGCGAGCACCACTGGGGGTAATGGTGGTCTAATGGTGTAATCGTTCATATTAAATATAATTTTAAAAACATCAAGTGGGTTTTTACACAAAAAATCAACATGAATTATGAAAATACCCATTGTATAATAAACATTTTAAATTAAAAAACGTACAATTTAATAAATAAACACACTTCAGCTCCTCCTTTTATGTACACACTAGCAAATGTTAGCCTAGTTTGTGCAGCTAACGTCAGCTAACTTCATACGTTCAGCAACATTCATACAAATATGCTAAATTGGCTGAAGTTGGGAAACTGTCAGGTGGAACATCTGAAGCTGTCAGTCATATGACACAGTGTGTTTACATGGTGGTATAATTGGAAGCTTTGCTGAGTCGGACTATGCTATCTTTCGGGGCAAGTGCTGTTATCCCAATATACATGGCAGTGAATAAATCGAATCATTGGCCGAAAGCACGTCATATCCGATACGATAGGTGGCGCTGTTTTCATTACAACTAGTTGTGATGCAGCCATTTCCGCTTGACCGCTTCACCACTACCAACAACAACCAACAACAACATCAACATTACGAGAAAGATGGCAAGCGGAGAGCAAGGTGAAGCTACGTCCCTCTACTATCTGTGCGTGATGCTAACAGGAGCACAGCGAATGCGAATGGCGCTATTGGCTGATTTGATAACGGAGAGAAGACGCCGTCGGGATCTCAAGCATGCGCAAAGACGCAAAGTCCAGTTCCTCATCCGATTCACGTTACATGCCGCAATAGTCGAACTATCAACTGGATCGGATGGAGTTATCCAGGCGTGTTAGTCGGACCGCACAGTCAGACAAAGGTGTTTACATGAAACGGATAGTTCGATTTCAGTCCGACTAAGCCAGTTATTCGAATCCATGTAACCACGCTGACAGAGGGGGAGGAATTGGAGGCGATAGAAACGGAGAGTTAATACTCACGTCTCTCTCTCTTGCTGCAGCCTGAGCCCCCTACGTGGTGAGAGAAATCCTCAAATGGACTCCTCCCTTTTTTATTCACATCAGTTTCTGAGACTTTACACCAGCCACCATTTATTTTTTTACGTGGTTTACTGTATTTAAGTAATTAAAACTTTCCTAACCTCATTTCAGTCGTGATGTGAAAATTTACATTTTATTATTTAAATAATGTAACTGCTATATATGGTTAATTGTAAAACAAATGTGATACAATCTGCTTCTGAGCCTGTGCGTGGTGTGTCCTTGCCACCCATTGCCGTTTAAAAGTGACGTAACTGGAATGAAATATTACATAACTAAAGCGCACTGAGCCAAAGGCCCAGTTAAGCTTCAGAGACGGATTACTCGTTGACTTTTACCTGGAGGGCCATCATCTTCATCATGAGGCTGCGATGAGACTCCTTCTTCACTTTGTCTTCAAAGTACTCCGAGAACCTTTGCTTCAACACCAAGCGCATGTTGTACCGCTTTGCCATGCTGAGACACAGGAACATAAGAACCATTAGAACCAATGAGGGTCTACACAGCAGTGACATTAGATCTTCACAATGAGGACTAACAGACTCCTAGAGGATGTCCATTCGTCAATAAATTGCCTCAGACTTCTAATCTACAATGTGTGTATATATATATATATATATATATACACACACATACATATACACACACACACACACGCACTTTAATGGAATCTCTCGTCTTACAGGAAACTCTTCACTATATATTCTCAGGGCTGTCGAGAGATTAAAAACAATATCTCACATTTTAAACGTCATTAATCTAGATTAGAAGTGATTGTTTAGAAATGAACGAGTAATTACTTTATAAAGCGTGTATTTTAACACAGTTGTTTAATTGTATTTTAAACACAAACCACACATATGTGATCATCTTAGAGGTAGAACACGTTGAACTTTGCTTGTTTGACGTGTTTCAAGTGCCAACAATGTCCCCACATTTAGCAGGACATTTTACAAACCAGTCTTTTAGTGACACAGTGGTGGTCATCTGCTGGTAGATGTTGAGATGGACGTAGCCTAGCAGCGAGCAACACACTCATCAGTCCTAAAGTGGTCTGTTTGCCACTCGTCCCCCTTCTGTTTGACAAGTGGAGGAATTCCGCTGTTTTTCTGTTTGTTTTACTTCCAATGCAGAAAGCATCTCCATCTTCAACTACAGTCCAACTCTCTCCATCTAACTGACCGCAGTGTCTTCTGGGGTCAACGCACACCGGAAAGCAACAAAGTTGCGTTTAACTGCGTTATCATATTTTATAATCTCTGCCACAATAATTTCATAGATTAATGGGTTAACTTCGACAGCCCTAGCTTTTATGTTTTTCTTGTTGATTAAACAAAACAGATCAATCAAATTTTCCATCACAACACACAAATCTTACTGTTGAAAAAGAGGGAAGTAGACAAGGGACTCTGGAACATTGACAACGTCCTCCAGGCTGAAGTGATACTGACATCCAAACAGAGGGTAGGAACCTTTGGACTGAAAGGACACCTTAAAAACCTCGTTTCCAAACGACAGAGAGTCCGACGCCTCCAAGCGTTTACTGCCGAGGATGAGCAGAAGAGGCATTATTGACCTAGTTAGTGTATTTATACGCAGACAATCATTAACAAGCTTTGAGTTACTCATATATTGATATAAAACACCGTCAGTCACTGAGCCCGGGGGTGTTTGTTCTTACACAAGTTCGAAAGCGTCAGGTGTCGTTCCGATGAAGAAACCGCCAGGTTTCAGACGCTCACATGCGTTTCGCAGCATCATGTCAGCCTTTTGTTCGCTCTCGAATGAGTAATGATAAACAAACTGACAGCTGCAGATGTCAAACATCAGCTCCGGATTGTCCAGCTTCTCTGACAAAACCTCCTGTGTAGACACGACAAAGGAGTTGGGATTCGGTCAGCGGTGAACTGATCTAGATGATGTTGTTCTACATACATATGCCAGTGAACTGATCTAGATGATGTTTGTCTACCTTGGAACAGTCTGCATTGATAAATTGAGCACTGAAGATTTTCTCGCTGTGACTTTTCTTCTTCATGTCTTCGTAACGACTCTGACATTGTTCCACCGACACTCCAGCGATATCTGAGAATAAAGACACAGTACATCAAATCATGTCACATAAAACCGATGTGAGCACCCATCATAAGAGGTGTAAAGAACCTGAGCTAATATAACCGGAACAATAAAGAAATAATGACAGATCACCTGCACAGACCAGGTGATTGATTCCTCCTCTCCTCCACTTCAGCAGATCTCCTCCTTTTCCACAGCCGAGGTCCAACACAGACACCTGCTGAGCAGGCCCCGCCCCCCTCACCTGCTCCAGGATCTCCCCTGTTAATCAAATAAAAGAAATAGCTGATTATCAAATGTGTTCAGGTGTTTTTCATCTCCAGATAACAATAATAAACATCATCACACTTGGTCTTTATAACTCATGAGGGGGGCGATGTCATGATGTACACCCCTCTCACTCAGACGGTTCAGGTCATCCCTCGAACTCCATCCTGGCCGGTCTACCGGCTGGTGCCACCAGTCCTCTCCCTGCATCACTTACCAGTAGTAGCGGAATGAGCTCATCAATACCATTAGGATATAATAAAGTCTATAAATGTAAAAACTACACATTGGATAAGGAGCACTTTAGTAACAGAACTTTGTAGTTCGGCTCTATGACGAAATTCTACCAAGTTGATTCCTGTTCTAGGTCTGAACCCTCATGGTGAAATGCACATATTGTAAGTTGCTTTTGATGAAAGCCTCAGCTGAATTAAATGTAACGCCATAATGGATAGTATTGATTAATAATCAGTTACCAATCAGGACACTCTTTAGCCAGTTGTTGAAGTTCCTCATGAAAAAGATTTTGCTTCGACTTCGTGCAGCCAGACCGACCTCCTGCAGGCTGTTGTAGTGACTCGCCACCTTCACACTGTGATCAATCAGCTGATGGAGAAACCACACGGATCAATAACTTCAAACAATGAATGATCATCACATTCCAGAAGAGTGATTGATAAAAATCAGTAACTCTACCGGCTTCTTCGTCTGTGGCGACCCCTGCCCTTCCTCTTCCTCGTGTCTCCTATTCATCTGAACCTTGGGGCCTCTTCCTCCTGGCTCCTGCCCTCGATCACCTTCCTCACTCTCTCCTCCCGTAGGTTTCTCTGCTTGCTCCTTCTCTCCTTCCATCTCTCCTTTCTCCCCGTCTTCTCCCCTCGGTCTCTCTCCTCTGTCCTTCAGCGTCTCCATTGCTCAAACTGAAACATAGAAACAAGAAGAATCTCCATTACATTAAACCTTGAAACAGTTTTATTAATAAGCTTAGTTCATACTGTCCCAATACCACTAAAATGAATGGTGTAAATAGGAAGTACATTCGTTGCTAAGTTACATAAATTACACATACTATCGTCTTGAATGAAGACAAACTATGATATCTTATTATTATTATTATTCAAACTTAGTTATAAGGCTGAAGGTCGACCTCTCTATTTAGATGTTGTAACGGTAAGTGTTATTGACAATAACCGGTTAAAGTGGATACAAGTCGTCCGCATAAAAAACGACTCAGATGATGGTCTTTTTTTAAACATGGCGAGGATGATGACAATGTAAAATAATGGGACTGTCTCAGGCAGGTCTGACTGGAGCTTTAACTAGGAGATCCAGTGAAGAAGATTGCTTTTGTTTTGGTGACTTGCAAACTGACTATTGTTAGCCGTTGGCTGTTAGCATGCTAACAAAACAACAGTCTGAGACGGACGGTAACGAAGAAAATATTCAGATCTGATCAGGAAATGACAGCCGCATTTATGACTAACGTGGCAATATCCTTCAAGTTACCAACAACAAAAAACACATCAACTCACGATGCTCTGCAGACTGGTTGCGTGTATGCGGAGTAATTTCCGGAAGTGTCCTCGATGCAGCTACGTCATATTTCCGCGTCAAGTAACGTCGGCGAAGCACCAGTTGATATATTTCAGGCTGAGAGAAGAACATATTCCGGTTATTTTCAATTCAAATGAAATCAGTTAATTTATAATACTTTACTAGTATTATTAGTATTATTCCATCAATATTATCAACAAAAACCACAACAACCTAACCCTAACCCACACAACAACACATTTATTAACTTATATGCAAGGACTTTTTATTTGTTTCTTGCATATCATACAAGCTACTTTTAACTGTTACCTTAAGATATTACAGAATATATCTGAGCTACAGTACGTCACAACACACATTGTTCTCCTTCAGCTTGATGCTGCTTCCTCGTTACCAGAAAACTAACTACCAGAAATGCCCTTAACTAACCTCCAGGTGCCCACAGTATTACCCAATCAGTTAGTGAACTACCAAAACTATGCATACTTAGTGACAAAAATGATTAAACTAAATTGACAACAAAAACAGAAAAAGCTATCTCAATATTATATCAACCTAAGAAATTAAACTAATATTTAAGAATAAATAACTAAATAATAGCTCCCACAAACACAATATCGGTTACCAACGTCACGTAACTTAATTTCAAAACTAAGATCTGATTTTATATATTATAATATAACAATTCTCGGTAAACATTCAAATTCTATTACTTTACGTTACAGTTAAAAGTGAACTCTTCCGCCTGCGTCCTGAATAAATGACATCCTCGTCGTACCGCTCTGCATGCTGGGATCTGCTGGGCTGCAAAAGATATAGATTAGCTGTGTTCTCCAAATTGGCTCCTGGAGGGCTGTTATACATGTTATATTATAATACATAACATTGCATCTTAGTTTATGAAAACACTTAAGTTATGTGACGTTGGTAACCGATGTCGTGTTTTTCAATACACAAAGAAACTGAACTTGCTTTGTTCCTTTTGTTTTGTGGTGTGATCATAAACTAGATTTACATTTAGTTGTGTTTTATAGAGCAGGAGAAAGCAGCATCTAGCTGAAGGAGAACGATGTGTGTGGTGACATTCAGCTGCTTGGACATATTATGTAATATCTTAAGGTTACAGTTAAAATAGCTCCTATCCTATGCAATAGAAAAATAAGAAGTCCTTGCATACAAGTTAATGAATGTGTTTTCTGTTGTGGTTTTTATTGACAGTATTGATGGAATCTCGGCCTTGAGATTGAATTATTACTGGAAGTACATGGCCTAACTGATTTAATTTCAATTAAAATAATCAAAAGAAGTTCTTCTCTCAGCCTTAAATATATCATGCTCCGGCAGAGAAGCGTATCCTTCTAACCCTAACCCAGAGGAGGTAAAGCTGATGAAGCAAGCAGGAAGTCCCCCAGTAGGCCAGACCATCCCATTTCAGAGACCGCTTGGTTCAGCCTATGTGGTTGTTGGAGGACGCAGCCCGGGTCTACCGCGAAGGCTGGTGAAAGCTGGAGGCTATAAGGATGCAGCCTAGCAACATTAAGACGCAGCTACAGTGTCCTCCAGATCGGGGGCCTGGGGGGCTGCGTCCCTCGACGGTGTTCGGAGGAGCCGGTGGAACAGACAGCCGAGTTGCAGCCTAAGTGACGTATGTGGGACGAATGAGTCCTTAATATTTATTTTCCACAGGTTTAACAATCATACTCTTTTCCTTATAAACTAATACAATCAAACATAATTTGATTAAACGTTCTTATTACTGTTATACGTAGTAACAGTAGTAGTGGTGGCATTCTTATTATTATGGTAGGTTATTGTTATTTTTCTATTTAGGACTGAATCGGCATTAGAGGCATTGGCGGAATACTGGCATCCGTAGTTTCAGACCTTTATTTTGAAATGTTAAACCGGAAGTCTTTTCTCTGTTGTTAGCAGTCTGGACGTGGAGGAAGGAGGCTAGCCTTTTAGCTCACTGTGTGTTTGAAGGTATCCTGTGGTTATTTCTTCTTCCAGTAGTTTCCACCATGGCGTACCAGCTGTACAGGAACACAACTCTGGGAAACAGCTTACAGGAGAGTTTGGACGAGCTCATACAGGTAACACGACCATTTCCTCAGCTAGTGCACGTTAGCATGTTGCTTACGGACACATAGCTAACTTTAGCATATGGCGAACGACGGAGGCTAGTTGGCTCGTAGCTAATAACGTTAGCTGAAGCTTTATTAGGTCACGTTGATGGAGGCTGCTGCTGTTGAAGAGATACGTTTCACTTGTATCAGATGCGATGGAAATATTCTCGATATTCTCGATTCTCGATATTCTCGATCTCAGTTTTTGTGTGGACTCTACAATAGTTGTGACGCGGCATTGGAATTGATGTGTCCCTGTGGTGGAAGGTTTATGATGTTAAATTAACTTGTTTGTGTGTGTGTGTTCAGACCCAGCAGATCACTCCTCAGCTGGCTCTTCAGGTCCTCCTTCAGTTCGATAAAGCAATCAATATGGCGCTCGCCAACAGAGTCCGCAACCGGGTCAACTTCAGGGTGAGTCCACAATCTCCTCCCCTGTACTGATCCTGTGTACTTGTACCACGAGTCTCCAGTGATCCCTGTGTACTTGAGTATCTTGAGTCTCCGAGGTTCCTCTCTCTCCACTAGGGTTCTCTGAACACCTACAGGTTCTGTGACAACGTGTGGACGTTTGTTCTTAACGACGTAGAGTTCAGGGAGGTGACGGATCTCGTGAAAGTTGACAAGGTCAAAATTGTTGCCTGTGACGGAAAGAGCGAGTCAACCCAAAACAAAAATGATAAATGGTAAGTATAAAGTGTTAGTATTATTATTACATTTCATATTTAATAGTGACCTGCACCACTAATGCTCTGAAACATATGTTCAACAATCACACCAGACATTTGATTTACAGGATTATCTCATGTAATTAATTGTTTTGATCAAATATTGTCTTGTACTGTTTATTTATGTTTTTATATATATATATATATATATATATATATATATATATATATATATATATCCCTAGTGTGTGTATAAGTACATTATGTTGTACTTTGATCGTCTCATTTCATTTCATTTTTCTCTCTGTAGACTCAAACTGCAGAGTGACGACTGTCTTTGTCTCTCTTGATTTACAGATGGACCTGAACTGTACAAATAATTTATTACAGTAGAGGTGTGTGTGTGTGTGTGTGTGTTTCAGCCAGAGGACCAGTCACTGTACCTGCAGCATCTTTTTTTTTATTTTTTATTTGCAGTGTGCAGGAGGTTTGCGTACTGTTTGCTGTTATTTTTCAGCTGGATCATCTTTAATAAAAAACTTTATTTAAACTTTGTCTTCTGTCGGGCATTGTTGTGGAATATTTCTGTAATTGTGAGAAGAGAGTTTTGTACCCCAATGAATAAGAATAAAGTCTCTGAATCAATGTTGGCTTTGTCGTTTATTTCCGTGCAAGGGGGATAAGGTCATAACTGCCACGTGCTCAGTAGACAGATGGCATCAACAGAAACTTTCTTACATTCCAGGTTAATCAACTTATTGATACACTGTGAGACTGGAGGCATCTCATCACTGAGAAAATTCAGCTTAATACTTTACCACTGCCACACAATCTATGAACTTATTTTACCATTATAGCGTTTGGAGGGAAAATCTCTAAATTCACTTAAAAGTGTCCAAACATTTACTCAGTTGCTACAAATTAAATTAAAGGATCCCAGTAGAAGGCAGTAAGTAGCATATTAATAACCTTGTTGATTTAAGACAGTAAAATGATGTGTGGGAGACGTGGGGGCAATGAGACAAAACAGCAGTGCATAAATGTATGAAAAGAAGAAATAAAAACTGAACAAGTTTCTGACCCAGTTGAAAATCTGAGTATAAATGGTGGACAAACAGAAATAACGGTGAGTGACGTTCTCTGTGTTTGGATTTACTCTGTTATGGTTGGTGAGTGAGGAGAAGATATCCAACATTCCAATTTAAGCTTAAAGATCATCTCCAAACACCTGTCACTTCAAAACAACAGCATGAACTGTTTGTTGTTCTCCGGGCACTGGGTTACTTCCATCAGAAAACCACAATTGGTGCCTGAGAGCGCTTTCAAAGCTACTTTGCAGCTGATCTGCTGGCCAGATCATGGACCAACACAATGGGCCTTTAAGACGTTGAGAACAGACTTGCGTTCTTGGGAGAATGGACTCAAGGTATATGAGAACGGTCATTTCCGCAATTGGAACCGGGTTAGGGTTAGGCAGCTGCAATTCTAATTCCAGAAATGACCTTTTTTCTATTCCGGGGAATCGGTTCCAGAGCCCATTCTATTGAGAAACAGCTACTGTTTTTTTGTCGGACTCATTGGCCTCAAATGTACTTCAATTCAATTTCACTTTAATTAAGAGTTGTGACTGTAAACAAAAGTTTGCTCAGTGACATGTTCAATATCAACGCAGATCATGAATTTGATTGCCGGTGATATTTTACTTAAAGCCCAGCAGAAGGCGCCAAAACATTACACAGTTCTTCCATTTCGGGATTAATGGTTATTTAAAAGTATAATTAATCCTAAAATAATCACGCCTAAAGTAAACAGAATAAAACACCTTAGATATGAAGTACTACAAAGTTAAAGTGATGAAAGCATGAATCCATCAATAACCCTTATCATTTCAACATGTTGATATCTATTCTTTATTTCTTTCTACACTGTTCACAAAAATCTTTGTTTAAAAAAAAAATGAAAATCTCTTCAGAATCTGATCCATAAATCTCTCTTTCAGCAGCTCTAACATCCATCCAGCCTTACAGGTTGATATGTCTATAGTCTGAAGGTTTGTACATTTATCATTCATAGACTTATTTATACTACTTTTATTACCAACAAGGAGAAATTAATTTCTCTTTAATCTTGTGGGGATATCCCCAAATCTCTTGACTGATATGTGACCAAAATTAACTTTGAACACAGCTTTTTCAAACACTTCCTTGTTACACAGTACTTCTACACTGTGGTATTGTTGTAAATGATGCAAATCCCTCTTTCAGCTATCCAATCCCTGAGTGTAAGGATTCAGCCTCAGACTGTCATTGACCCTGTTCCTTCTCACTGCCGAAGAAAATAAGGCATCAACATGAAGTCAAATTATTTTAAATTAATATTGAGGAAAAAATAAACATGTCATTCAATAAATTCAAGACTATGTAATATAAATATACAGTACCAGTCAAACGTTCAGACACACTCTCTTATTGAATTGAAAGAAAATGTGTCTTTCACTGGTACTGTATATATATATAATATACCCAGAAGCCGAACATGTTTATAAGATAACTTTCACCGCATAACATAAGACAAATAGATAATACATTAGTCTCAATTCTTACTTGGAGGATTAGGATGTCCTTCAAAACCTGGTGTTTTTTTTATCAAAGCTTAGAGCAAATCATCTCGCTATGATAACAGACAGACATTTCCCATCATGCATTGGGTCACCTAGGCCTACAATCTGAGGCCATCTAGATCTTGTATTATTGATGCCCATGTCTGCATTACATCAGAGAACATCAGCATGAAGCCAAATTCAATTTGTCAACCAAACATTCACAACATGTTTGGTTGATAAAAAATAAAATGAAAAAAATTGTCTTAACAATTTTTTTCCCCACAAATTCAAATGTCTTCAGAATCAGAATTGTATTTATTGTCTTTAAATACACATTAACATGAATCCAACATATTGTAGCGAACGGATAAAGTCTTATCTTTCAGTCCGCAATACATACACACACTCCTTTCATGCTGATACGTTATCATAGGCACCAGCCAATCAGATCGCCTTTATGCTCACGTCTAAAGAGCGCGAAGATCAAAAATAAAAGATGGCGACCCAAACTGCGTACAATCGGGGGTCCCTGCTTCATCTCGCCATCAGTTTGGGGGTCCTCGGCCTGAAAAACGTTGAAGACCCCTGACATAAAGTGTTTAAAATATGTCTTTTAAAGGTCCATAGAGTTGGTGAAGCGCAAAACATGCTTACTTGTACTACCCATTTATCAACTGGAGAAAATCTCACACAGTTTTTACTGTGTTGTTGACCGAGAAGAGGACAAACAGAGTCCAGTCTGAGAGATCCTGGTGGATTTGCCCATTAATCACTCAGCTTTCTCATCTCACAGAATAAAGACTGGAGCTGTAATTAGTGGTATTAGTGATGATTATTAATCTGAAGGAAAAGACATTGTTCAGGAGATTCAGCAGAGCAACATGAAGATAATACAACACAAAATGAGCCTTGTGTTTCTACACCAGCAATGAGCTCAAAGAATGAGTAACAGAAATAAATAAGTGAGAATAATGCAGTAATTTAAATTGTGTTGAAGACAGAAATACATATATCACTTGTATTATAATTTAGGCGAAATGAACCAGTCTCCTGATCAAGACTTCACACGTGTTCTTCTACCTGGACCAATCACAGGAAAGCTGTACTGTCACACAGAGGAGCCTCATATACAGAAAATTATATTATTATATAATATTATTATCATTTTGACAAAATGTCAGTTTATCTTGGACACCCTGAAGCCAATAGATGAAGTTTAAATATTTACATTTTATAGAGGCTGAGACAAATCTGCATTAACAAACATGGACTCGTTGATAAGATCTTTGTACATGTAATTACTCTTTCTGCCACCAGGATGCGCCAAAAGATCCTTAAACACTGAAAATGGCAACATACTTCCAATTCAGATGGTTAATACAACAACCTATAGCTGGTGGTGTTTTGCCATAAGTAACTTGAGGCCTCCAGTGTTTAACCCTGAGGACAGTGAGCTCATCAACAGGCTGCACACATGCCTCGCATACAAAGAAGACTTCAAGGACTGCCTATTTTCATCTACGTAACATATCAAAAATCAGGAACTTCCTGTCTCAAAGTAATTCTTTGTTATCAGGCTGCTCTTGTAAATATCTTAAGCCTCTCCAGTTGATTCAGAATGCTGCAGCACGTGTATTAACAAGAACTAAGAAAAGGAATCATATCACTCCTGTATTAACTTCTCTGCACTGGCTCCCTGTTAAATCAAGAATAGATTTTAAGGTACTTCTCCTCACCTACAAGGCACTTGCTGGTGAGGCACCGTTGTATCTTCAAGAGCTTGTAACACCTTATTGTCCTACAAGGCAGCTGCGCTCCATAGATGCTGGGTTACTTGTTGTTCCTATGGTTTTAAAAAGTAGGCTGGGGGCCAGAGCCTTCAGTTATCAAGCTCCTCTTCTGTGGAACCAGCTTCCACTTTCAGTCCGGGGGGCAGATTCGGTCAGCTCTTTTAAAGTAAAACTTAAAACGTTCCTCTTTGATTCTGCCTATAGTTAGGGCTGGCTCAGGTTAGCCCGGACCAGCCCTTAGTTAAGCTGCTATAGGCTTAGAATGCCGGGGGACTTCTTAGGACACACCAAGCTCCTCTCTCGTTCTACCATAATTCACGTTTTATTAATGCACATGACTAATTCAGCTTCTTTCCGGGAGTCTTTTTTGTTGCTTTCTCCCCTAGCAGGTCTCCGTAGATCGTAGTTCCTTCTGGACCCTGGTCCTGACACCTGCCGTGGCCCTGCTGACGCCTGCTGCTGCCATCATCATTATCATTATTATTTTAGATATTAATCATATTACTGTACTCGTAAACCAACATTACCCTCTCCTAAAGTATTTGTGCTCTCGCTCCCCACAGGCTTCGGTAGATGGTGGTTCTATCTGATGGTGGTTCTACCTGATGGTGGTTCTATCTGATAGTGGTTCTATGTGATGGTGGTTCTATCTGATGGTGGTTGCCCTTGCAGTGGTCCTGCTGTGCGTCTGGTTTACTACTCACAATTACTTGAATCATTTCTGTCATATGAATTGCATGTATTATACATTGTTCATTCTGTACACATGGCATCATTGTAGTCTGTCCATCCCCGGAGTGGGATCCCTCCTCTGACGTTCTCCCTAAGGTTTCTTCCCTTTTTTCCCTCTTGGAAGGGTTTTTTCATTGTTTGGGGAGTTGTTCCTGTGCCGATGGTGGGTTTCGGGACAGAGGATGTCGTATGTGTACAGACTGTAAAGCCCTCTGAGGCAAATTTGTAATTTGCGATTTTGGGCTATACAAAATAAAATGAATTGAATTGAATTGAATCAGTTTGGCGTGAGATCTTGGTCCTGATGGACCTCAGCCTCCTGCCAGATGGAAGGGGCACAGACAGATTTTCTCCGGGGTGAGAGGGGTCGGCTACCATCTTTTTAGCTGCTTCAGGGTCCTGGAAGCGACCAAATCCTGCAGGGACGGCAGATTGCAGCCGATCACCCTCTCTGCAGAGCGGAGGACACGCTGCAGCCTGCCCTTGTCCTTGGCTGTGGCTGCAGCGTACCAGACGCTGATG